AGATGGCGTTTGTCCCAGCCATGATATTGGTAGTCCCGTCCACGTTTTAAGGTCCTGTGTTGCTTGTTGGAGTAATGAGGTGTAGTTGAGTTGGTACGCCTGTATCAGGTCTTTAGGAATGCATGTCCCCAGATATCTATTATCCGTGTGCTGAAAGTGGAATGGGTATAGACGTTCTAGGATCTGCAAGGATTGAGTATCTATGTGGATTGGAAGCACATCTGTTTTATCGATGTTCAGTTTATAACCTGAGATCACTGCATAATCGTTCAGGGCCGATAAGAGTGGTGGCATGGAGCCTATAGGATTGGTGATGGTCAGCAGTATGTTATCTGCATATGCTGCTGTTTTTATATTCCTCTGTGCATATCGTAAGTCCATGGATCTCTTTATTGTGCGTAAGCACTTGCCGTTGCGGCTCCAGGGAGAGGGCAAAGAGAATAGGGGACAGGGGGAACCTGTCTTGTGCCATTGTGAATTTCAAATGTGGGAGGGTGAGTGGTAGCAAAAGGTTTGCGGTTGGGTAGACGTATAGGGTCTGTAATATGAAGGGTTTTGGGAATCCGAGTCTATGTAAGGTCACGTATAGAAAAGACAAGAGAAGTCGGTCATGTAACGGACCGTTTTGCACAAAAGGGAAAAAAAAACGCTTAGACGATAATCCCCTTTCAGAGACAGGCACAGCTACTGTAGAATCACCAAAACTCACGAACTGAATACAAGTGAATGCTCCAAACTCCCGAACGGCATACAAGGGAATGGTCCAAACACTCGAACTGCATACAAGTGAATGCTCCAAACTCCCGAACGGCATACAATGGAATAAGGTAGCACTCCAAATACACGAACAGGAACCATACGAATTGCTGCTACCAGACGAATAGGAAAAGCATCCAAGCGGCTTACACTCCTAGCAATCAGTCTCTATCAGCATTCAGTAAATCCCCCCAAAGACGAGACAAGGCTCCGTGTTGAGGGTCAAGCAGTGGTCTGTTTAATGAGGGCTACCTGCCCAGTATTTATGCAGGTCTCCCACCTGGTGGACACTCCCCTAGGGGACCAAATGGGAGACTGTGACAAGGGACAGACAAGTAGACAAATAGGACACACAGTCACAGTATATTCCCACAATGCATCCTGGCTTCCTCCTCTCTGCCCTGGGAGATAATTGAGAAGTAACTCAATTATCTCCCAAGACAAAGGCAAAACTCCATTACACATGTGGGGACACAAAACCAGTATTATACTTTAAAATACATAAAGTAACATTTACTACATAAAACACAGACATGTAACATATCCCCAGATAGCTCAGGTCTGAGTGCACATTATTAGGTGAATGGCACTCAGACCGCACGAATACAGTTTAATCGCCATGGAGCTAAAGTCTTTACAGTCAGTTTCATACGAATGGGCTCCATGGGATTCCTATCTGGGGTATAACACATTCAACCAAAACTACCAAACCCCAGGCAGAAAAGCACGAATGAAGCTTTTCTGCAGGTAAAAAAGATGTCTTTTAACAGGGGCCATAGTCCAAAGGCAGCAGGCGAGCAACCAGGCTTCTCCAATGCAATGTGGCGGGATTGGTCTCGTCACATCTCTCCCCTTTTCCAAACAGACTAACAGGGTATCTGACCTCCTGCCGGTCAGTGCCCTTGTTAGTTCAGCAGCCCACCCACAAAACAGAAACAGCAGTATAGCCCACCCACAATAACTGGTTACTACACCTGAGTAAGGGAGAATCTTGTCCATGTCCAGGTGCCTCACCACAGCTGTGTGGGGGACTGATAGGCTGCCTTGGTGGGTTGCTGAGTGGGCAGAGACCAGCGGTACTCTGCCCTGATGCCAGTACTACCGCGGGAGTAGTCTGGTTGAAGCCTGGTTGCTGGAGACCGACTGTCTCCCCTTTAGTTACCCCGCTCTGCTGCTGGAGACTGACTGTCTCCCCTTTTGTTGCACAGCTCTGCTGCTGGAGGGGGAGACCGACAGTCTCCCCTTTGGATACTCTAAGCTGTCGCTGGGTAGAGGGGGTAACAGGCTCCTCTCCCGATAGAACACTCTGCCGCTGGGGAAAGGAGACTGAGCTCTCTATTCCCTGCCCATTAATGATCCGCCGCTGGGGAGAGGTGGTAGCAAGCTCCTCTCCCATACATACTTTCATCCTCTGTGGAGGGAGACCGACTGTCTCCGCTCCCAATACAGTGTCCTGCTGCTGGGGAAAGGAGACTGGGCTCTCTATTCCCGGTAGGACACTCTGCCGCTGGGGAATGGAGACTGGGCTCCCAATTCCCTGCTGTATCTCCCGCTGGGGAATGGAGACTGGGCTCCCAAATCCCAATAAATAACACTGCCGCTGGGGGATGGAGACTAGGCTCCCAATTCCCCAAAAATCACGCTGCTGCTGGGGGGGGAGGACACTGCTCTCCTCTCCCTGGACTTCACACTGCCTTCCCGGCATATCACTTGGCTGCTGGGGGGCAGGAACAACTACCTCTGCCCCCTGTAACTCAGCCTGTCGCTGGGGAGGGAGGACACTGCTCTCCTCTCCCTGTACTTCACACTGCCTTCCCGGCATATCACTCTGCTGCTGGGGGCAGGAACAACTACCTCTGCCCCCTGTAACTCAGCCTGCCGCTGGGGAGGGAGGACGCTGCTCTCCTCTCCCTGCACTTTACACTGCCGCTGGGGAATGGAGACTGGGCTCCCAATTCCCAATAAATCACACGGCCGCTGGAGAATGGAGACTGGGCTCCCAATTCCCTGCAGGACCGGTGGAGAGACCTCGGTCCCATCTCTACCGGCCACCTGGGGTTCTTCCCAGAAAATATCAACAATGTCTTCCCAGCTGAATGGGTCTGGAACTGGATCTGTCACCTTGCTGTCCTGCTGAATCTTCTCAATGGAGTGGAAGAGATCTTGGTAGTCCTGCTCCAGTTCCCACTCCAGGGTTGCTAGGTGAGCCAGGTCTTGCTCAATGTCGTGAGTGTCGTCCCAGTCATACCTGCTCTCCCTCCACTCCAAGAGATCACTGAACCGGGCTTGTGTAGGGCTCCCAAATTCAGGCTCTGAAAAAGCCTCCCATAACAAGCCAGGACCATCAAACTCCTCTCCCTCTGGCTTGTCATGCTCGGCTGTCCAGGGCAGGTACTGTGCCCCATACCACCAGAGCACCTGGTAGGCATCTTCCAGCCAAATCTCCTGCCATACCCGGTGCTCCAATTCCTTCACCCATTCATCCAGGGGCTGCTCTCCCAGGAAGGGCATCCGCAGGGCCACTTGCTTCTGCAACCGCTGCTCTTCACTGGGGAGACTCTCGCCCCGCTGGTATTGTACATTATCCAGGGCCTGGTACCAGATGCCTTTCCTTAATGCATCCCGGCCATCCAGGTTCTCCTCCTCGTATGACACTGCTGGTTCCATTCTGTTGCTGTCAGGGTCGCTGTACTCAGACATGCGTTGCCCTCAAATTGTAAATCCACGGAATGGTGTTGCCTGTAGCTGTCCTGTAGTCTGTGGGAACGATCCCGCCGCTTGCCACCAATTGTAACGGACCGTTTTGCACAAAAGGGGAAA